TCATATTATATAATGTCATTTACTCGTGTCAAACCGTGCCCGTGTCGCGACGACGTTTTATAATAATGTAAACACTTACCTGTGTACTATTATTATGTTATATAGGTTTCGATTTGCACTGCTGTAAGAAAAAAAATAATGTGCAATTTTGTCTTCTATTCTTCGAGTATATTATGTTGTTTTACTGTCGAATACGTCGTAAATAAATAAATAGGTACCTATACCTATAAATAATATAACCAACGCATCGGTTCCACGTAAAACCGATAACCCCGCAGCACGTTGACGAGAATCGATGACAATTAGTATTTATCAATTAAAGGTAGTTAATATGTTATATTATCGACATTCGCCACGCACGGTTTTATGCATAATCATATTATATTATAATATGACGATTCATTATACGATATTACTCTTGAGTATAGTCGTTAATCGTTACGGTAATTATTATTTATTTGATTGTACCGTTTTTGACAGTCGTAAAAGGCTGCGTATTTATTTAATTTGTACGTGTCCCTAAATATTAAATGTTATGCTCTGATTTGTATTTTGTGCATCATGACCAACTATTTTGTTTTTAACTTAAATAAGTTTAATCTTCTGTTAGTCTACCATTGATAAAAAAAAACCATAGCCTTAAAATATTTTGTGCAATATTTTTTTCTTTATTAACAATCACATACTATACTGTTATTACCATGTCTGTTAGTTTATTTCCTTATCCAAAATGTTAACTCTCACACAAATATTTGAGTAGAATTTTATTTTCACGTCCGATCGCTATAATTTTAGAAACAAAAAAGTATAGACTTCGGTTATTATTGTACTAATAATCATAGCATTTGGTCATAAAAAATTACTCTTTCGGTTCACATAAATAGTTAAAGTTTCTAAATTAGTAATTTCATTAAAAATACTAAAATATTATCAATTATTGCTATAGTTATTTATTATGCCCGATATTGTTTTATAGTTTAATTTTGTTGTAGGTAGGTTAGGTAAAACAGACATCTATACCTAGTTGTTTTTAAGAAACGTACATAGATAATTGAGTATTATTTATACTGAATGATTTAATGATTCACCAAGTATGATCACCCATTGCTCTTTAATACTTAGGTTAGGTTAAATTCAAATTCTGATTTTTTGAACTTTTTAGTATATAGGTACCGACTTAGCTAAGTTATAGTTATCCGCATATTTTAAGCATGCGGTGATATAAACTTATTTTTTTCAAACGAGAACTTTATCAATTTACTATAAATAAAGTTAGGCAAGTAATTTTGTTTTCTAAATTTTGATGCGCCTAAATAACAAATTTAAACAATAGTAGTTTCTGAGTTATTAAAATTTGTTTATTAAAGATAATATCTAGTCCTTAGTATTGATGTTTTATATTATAGTCGTATAAAATAGAATAGAATATGTTATATTAAGTTGAATTAAATTAGAATTTATTTTTATTTTTATTGAAAGGTGTAATTGTTAAATAATACATAAATATTTAAACTACATACAACACGATATTGATATAAAGTGATCGTCACTGGACGCTAGACTTGTTGTTATATTAAGTTTACAGCTCATTATTTTTAAAAAATGTTTACAAATTATAAAAATTTTATACAATAACTTTCAAATCACATAATAACTTTTATATATTTTCTAAGTATATAATGATTATAGCCTATTATCCTGATTATCCATCATAAAATTTAATAATTCAGAAACTACTCGTTCAACTTTTGATTTATTTAAAGACATATGTGCAAGTAAGTATCTACATAAAAAAATCATTAAAAAATTTAGAAAAAATAAGTTGGTAAAATTAAAAAAAAATATTCTCAACTTCTCAAATTTCTACCTAGAAACCGGTATTTAAAAATTTAAAAAATCAGAATTTATAATTATAAAAATAATTCAATTTATGTATATAATTAAAGGAAATAATAATGGTTGAATATTCTTGATGAATAACTTTGTATAAGTAATGATTAATGCATATTAGATTTCTTCTCTAATGAGATTAAACTATTTGAAGAACAAGAAATTAAATTTACATTTAAATTAAAAAAAGTTTGCACAATTTAACACATCATTAGGAACATCTTCGAGTGGCCTTAATCGAAAATGAATTAATAGTTTTGAAGCATTTCCAGTAGTAATGAATATTTAATGAAATTTCAATAGTCATTAAGTATATTTTGGATATTAAGGTTAGACTTTTTATTTTTATTACACTGTCTTTTTGTATATGTAGTATCAAAATTATACAACTTGTTGTGATAAAATATCTTGTTAAGTTCGAATATCTGCCTAAACTATTCACTTTTAAATGTCTCTTATAGAAAGAAAAAGTTTTAAATTCTTTAAAATAATTATTATAGTAAAAAATGTTTTACGCAATATTATTAAAACTTTCCAGAAACACATCATTGTTACAAATTATATAGTTATTATAATTGTTATGTAGATACCTTAATATTTTTTATTATACTGATACGAAAAAATTCAATAGTTGTCAGTAAAATAAAAGATATTACTGAATATATTTTTTATATGAACTAATACATTTTTTTATCAGTTTTTTTTTTTAAGTTTTAATTTTTATTTATTCAGAGTAGTATAATATAATATAGCTATTTGCAACCTATATATTTTATACATGCCTGAAAACATCTTTTGTATATTTTTATATACCTACTTATTATTTAATATATTATGTTATAGTTACAGAAAACAATCATATTATATGTTGATTTAAATTATAATTAATGAAGCTAAATTGTACATTGATTCTTGATAATTCGATACCTGACGAATGTGTATGACGTGCGTGTTATCGTAGTACTCATATTATAATTTAATAAAAACATAAAAATAATAATAAATATTATAATGTTATTGTGACTGTCGATTGTTATACAAGCATAATATACCTTTTATTGCAGTTAATATATATTATGTGATTTATTTTTGTGGTATGAAAAAATAATATTGCCGATTATATTTAACACGCACAACACTTTATTTATCCTATTATGTTACAACATGTATGAAATCGTCATTTAAAAAAAATAATTTGATATTGTAATATAATATAATATAATATATAATAGACTGATATTCATTTATTCTATTTGAGATAATTTTATATTTATGTACTCACGTACCTACCCCTACAAAATAATATAAGTTATATATATGTATGATGCGTGATATGTCTATTATATATTAAATTATATTATACTATCATGTGAAGAAAATCGTGATAAAACTTTTTCTAATTCTTTTTACAGTCACCGTGTTTAATTCAAAACGTTATACATAAATATGTAATGACAGTTTCATATACTTACAGGTTATTTTGAGGAGTTGTATCAAAAAATTCGGTTTTCCAAGAAATTATAAGTTTTAGGTAAGCTAAATCTATTATTACAAGTTACGAATAACCTATATATATATATATATTATAAAAATATAATATTTCATATCGATACACGCGCATACACTGCAATGTTCTGCATATTTCATATAGGTATTACGCGTGTATATACTAATCACGTGTGTAGTAAAATTAATTAAGAATTAGATACCGTTTTCCTGGTCAAAACTCGATATATACAACTTAAAACTCAAAATGCATATAACTATATTAAAATACAAATATATCATGTAAAATATAGTATGCATATAATATATTTTTTTGTACATACTATAAAGATAATATTATGTTGCGTACGGCATAAAATCCACACAGCCTGAAGTGCGTCGAAATGATAATTTTATACGATTTGTAAAAAAGCACGTCGATATAATTTTGTATATGTTGTCGAATTGAATTTATTTTACTTAAAACCGTACATATGATAAATATTTATGATATAATTTACACATAATATAAATATATACATATTATTTAGGTAAAATATAGGTACACGGCATATATTTAGGACATGACCGCAATGTGACCAAGTCACATTACAAAATATACACGTACAATGTATAAACATATTGTATTATTGTTATATATATATACATACACACACACACACATATATATATATATATAAATATATAAATACTTAAAGTACAACAGTTTGCTGTGCGTACGCGTATGTATATATAATAAGTGCAGTGGCGGCGGCGTTGTTTCAAACCCGGTTAACACCGCCGTCGCCGCGCACGAGACGACGACGAAAAAAAGTGACATAAACAACTTCTATTTTCAACGTACATTTATAATATATTATAAATTAATTATATAATTATTTTAACATACTATATGGTTACTCGGAGAAAACGGTCGTAGGTCGTTCGACGTATCTATATATATATTGACATGCAGTGAGCGTTCAATATATTCACAATAGTACAGCTTATAACGCTTATAAATATACATATGATTCAAAATATTCACATATATTATACTTTTATTTGTATAAAATATATAAATATATATTATATCATATGTATACATATACGTTTGCGAAGGAAAAACCGCAACTACTTGCACAACATTTTTGCATCACATCACATTATAGATAAACGTAAAAAGTTGTTTTTTAATTTTCTAAACGCGTACACACTAACATAAAATATATACTGTACATACACACGTATATAATAATAATAATAATAATAATAATAATAATGATAATAATAATAATAATAATAATAAATCTAAAAACGAAACATGACGGTATCAAACACATATGAGTATAATATATATAATAGTTTATAGGCAGAAGGTACTCGAGAGATTACTAGATAAAAAACAAAATAAAAATTACACATTGGATGCATACCGCGGTCGCGCATGCGTGCGCGACAGACACTTGGAAATAATTGAAGAAAAATTAAACGTGGCTGCATTAATTACTATTGCTGCTGCCGCCGTTGTTGCCACAGGCCCACGAACGATCACGCCGTTTTCAAACGAGCGGCGGATATTGGTGCTGGTGGTGCTGCTGGAGCTGCTGATGGTGATGGTGATGTCACAACGGTGACGACGATCCGGCGGCGGCGGCTGCAGCAGATACTGACGACCCGGACGATTGCGGTCCGCCGGAAGCTGCTGCTGCGGCTGCAGCTGCTGCAGCGGCCGCGGCCGCGTGATACAGCGACGCCTGCTGGTGGTGTGGATGTGGGTGCCCGTGGTGGTGAGGATGGTGTGGGTGTGCGTGTGGGTGATAGTAATCGTTATACCCAGCTGTAGTACCGTACTGCGAAGCCGCTGCCATTTCGTACATTTTCTCGGCGGCGGAGGCGGCAGTCGCGGACGACGCGGTGGCCGCGGCCACGGATGCAGCTGACGACGGTTTGTCGGACGCTGACGCAGCTGCAGCGACCGAAGCCGTCGGTGGTGGCGGCAACAGTCGCGTAATTGAAAACGGATGGTTGGACGCGGCGAATTCGGCAGCGGCTGCGGCCGCGGCGGCCGCCGCTGCTGAAGATTTGAGGTGTTGTTGCAGTTGTAGTTGTTGATGGTGGTTGTGATGCTGTTGCTGCTGCTGCTGGTGTTGTTGTTGCTGTTGGTGATTGTGATGTGCGGCGGCCGCAGCGGCGGCATAAATATCCACCGGACTGTGCTGCTGTTGATGGTGTTGCTG